TATGATTTTCAAGTATATAAAGGCTTCTCATATTTCATCATGAGTGTATACTATGTTCTCATCTTTGACATACATTAATACTTGCATATTTTGAATTTGTTTCCTTTATAAATAAACAAGACACAATTCATCCATTTGACATCTCTTCCTAATCAACTGGTCACTTAGATGGGAATACCACTTCCATTCAATTCTTTCAATCCAAAAGTAATTGATCCAATATAATTTTGGATTGTTATGTGAGGCAATATAATTTTACTCTACCATTTAGAGTCACTTGAGTTGATTAATAAATGCTGAACTCATGCGTCATAGACACACACACACACCAAACAACATCTATTACTTTGAAGGCCAATTGCGATGAGAGGTTACTACACTAAAATGCATAGGGTCTCTGCAAATATCAAGGTCAGAACCCCACTCTCTATCTGCCAGCTTGTGATTAAAGTCCAATTTACATCCTCCCATCTAACTGTCTGGTTGGTGTTGGGGGCCCTCAGGGATGGGGTTGTTGGGTGTGTTTCGAAAAATATAGATAATTAATTAAAATAAATTAATTAAATAAAATGAGTAGAGAAAAACAAGAAAGGAGATGAAGCAGAATTAGTCAAAGCTCGTGCTACGCACGATTTCCTTAAAACGTATTTGTTGCCTCCCACGGTGCTAGGAGCGTTGCAACAATCGTTTCCCAGGATACGATGACTACGAACTAATGTTTGAGCACACAAACAAGAGTTCCAGCGAACGAGAACCAAGTAAGAACACAGAAGGAATTTTCAGAGTAGCTGTAGGTGTTTTTAGCTCAAGAATACGTGAGGAATGTATTGTGCGTTGTGTCAAACCGTGTGTTTGTTGCAAAGCACCTGCCAGCTATTTATAGGAGGATTTGTTGTGTGTGAAATGGGGTGTTAATGGACCTGAACGTTGGACATCAATGACCAGTCCGTTGGACATTGAATCGTCCATAAACTGTCCATTTAACGCAGCATTAAAAGAGAAGAACGTTGTGCATTAAATGTTGTAACGGAAGAAGTGCGCGACAGAAGACCCCAACAGAACACCCTTTGGAGGGTTTCTATCCGAAGGCAGCAGAACACCCCTCGGAGGGTTTCTGTCCGAAGCCAGCAGAACACCCCTTGGAGGGTTTCTGTCCGAAGCCAGCAGAACACCCCTTGGAGGGTTTCTGTCCGAAGCCAACAGAACACCCCTTGGAGGGTTTCTGTCCGAAGCCAACAGAACACCCCTTGGAGGGTTTCTGTCCGAAGCCAACAGAACACCCCTTCGAGGGGTTCTGTTCGAGGACTTCTGGGGAAAAAAATAAACGTTTCGGGAAGAAAACAAAAATTAACCGTATCTCTTGAGAGATAGATTTTTGGACGGCATTCGTGTCCGTAGGTCGCCCGCGCACACGAGTCGCGGTTTTTCTTCTCCGTTTCGGGATTTGATCGGCACCCCCCCCCTGCGCGTAAGAGAGAGCCTTTCCCTTTAGGAATCTTAACTTCTTAAAAGAGACTTCCCTTTATAAGGGGGTGAAAATCCCTTGAGTTTTTCGGTGTGGGATAAAACACACTAGAAACTCGTCATTTTTCCCAGTTTTTCCATTTCAACGAGTGAACTTCGAGAATCAATTTCTCATTCACCCGTTATCCGTTTTGAGTGTACCACATATCGAATTGTAGCCCTTAACAAGGACAATCCGAAACCACTTTGACCCGACCCAAATCGGAAGTGGACCCCACTCAAATAATTGCCCCAAAATGACCATTTAATACACTTTTAACACACTTTTTCCGACAATCCCCCACATGAATGAAAAATGATTTTCGAGACTTAAAAAGACACGAAGATAGGAGGACACGTTGTGTTCACCGGATGATCCTTGCATACGGAGAGGTAGGTTTATCCTTTGAACCTTCCGTTGTAAAGACACATTTATTTACTGGCTGTCTAGTAGACTCGATGTCCTTGAACTATACTGTCGTCGTGTAAACATTGACTTATCTTTACACAAGAACCTTCCAACTTTGTTCCGTTCTCATGGGTGTGCCCGTTTTGGCCATGGGTCACCGTCCTGGTTCTGCAAGAGTTTCTAAAGAACTGAGCCTTTACAGTTCTCCTTTGAAGCGGCCCTCTTCTCTGTCACATAGGTGATTCTGTCACGAGTATCCCGCATACTCTTCCAATGTTATCGATGTAGATCCACATTTTAGAATCATTAAAGCAAACGTTTTTGCTAACCTCGTGCGGGGGTCACTGTTTTAACGAGGAGTGGGTAGGAGTCTGGGACCCCCATAGTGACCATCCTTCGCTCTATAATTTAGTTGTCCCTTTTGAACCTAGGACCAACTAGGTTGGGTATCCACTATAGAACCTTTCAATTCACGGGCTTTAGTCCCATTCCTCGTGACAACTTCTCCAACAATTCTCTATCCAATGCCTTGGTTAGCGGATCCGCTATGTTATCCTTTGACTTCACGTAGTCAACAGTGATAACACCCATTGTGAGGAGTTGTTTAATGGTGTTATGTCTACGATGAACGTGTCTAGACTTACCATTGTACATATTGCTCTGTACCCTTCCAATTGCCGCTTGACAATCGCAATGTATGCATATTGGAGGGACAGGCTTTTCCCAACTTGGAATATCCTCAAGAAAATGGCGTAGCCATTCAGCCTCTTCAGTGCACTTATCCAAGGCTATTAGCTCAGACTCCATCGTGGATGTAGCTATTAACGTTTGTTTAGAGGATTTCCATGATACGGCTGCACCTCCCAAAGTGAAAACATATCCACTTGTGGACTTAGAGTCCTTTATGTCGGATATCCAACTAGCGTCGCTATACCCTTCAAGTACAACTGGATATCTTCCATAGTGCAGTCCAAGATTTTGGGTTTTACGTAAATACCTCAAAACCCTTATTATTGCCTTCCAGTGTTCATCACCGGGGTTGCTAGTATATCTACTTAGCTTACTAACCACAAAGGCAATATCAGGCCTGGTACAACTCATTAGATACATCAAGCTTCCAATAATCCTAGTGTATTCTACTTGAGAAATACACTCTCCACGATTTTTGGTAAGTTGTACGTTTTTATCTAATGGAGTCCTTGCCTCTTGATAATCATCCTTATTAAATTTCATAAGGATTTTATCAACGTAATGGGATTGGCTTAGCGTAAGACCGTCAGGTCCTCTAATTATTTTAATCCCAAGGATTAAATCGGCCTGCCCCATATCCTTCATGTCAAATTTAGAATTTAACATGCTTTTGGTAGAATTAATCATTAGATTATTGCTACCCACGATGAGTATATCATCCACGTATAAACATAAAATGACATAGCCGTCTACCGTGCTTTTCACATAGACGCATTTGTCACTTTCGTTTATTTTAAACCCATTAATTAACATTGCATGATCGAACTTTTCGTGCCACTGTTTAGGGGCTTGTTTCAATCCATACAATGATTTAATTAATTTACACACTTTCCTTTCTTGGCCTGGAACACGAAAGCCCTCAGGCTGTTCCATATAGATTTCTTCGTCTATATCGCCATTTAGAAAAGCGGTTTTTACGTCCATTTGATGAACTTCCAATTTCCGCAATGCGGCAATTGCTAGTATCATCCTAGTGGAATTTATTCTCGTCACAGGAGAATAAGTGTCAAAGTAATCATGACCCTCACGTTGCTTGTATCCTTTGATTACAAGTCTGGCCTTGTACTTATCGATGGAACCGTCAGGTTTCATTTTCCGTTTAAAAATCCACTTGGATCCCAAAGGATAATTTCCCGGAGGAAGATCAACCAATTCCCATGTGTGATTATTAAGGATAGAATCCACCTCACTTTTGATGGCTTCTTTCCACATAGGACCTTCAGTAGACGTCACGGCTTCCGTATAAGTCCGTGGCTCATTTTCTACCAAACATGTTAGAAAATCCGGTTCATTTTCTACCATACATGTTAGAATATCCGAGTCAAATTGACCCGACCCAAATCGGAAGTGGACCCCACTCAAATAATTGCCCCAAAATGACCATTTAATGCAATTTTTTAACACATTTTTCCAACAGGGGTGTCATCCTTTTCTCTATTACTTTGAAGGCTACTTATAGTTTAAATATGAAAATCTCTTTAAGTTCATAATAGAGATGTATGTATTCTCATATTTGAATCCAAGGTGTTGTGAGAAAAATACCAGGGCCTCATTGATCTCATCACGCTTTCTTATAAAAAATTAATTTTTGTCCTACGAAATTCGTACACGAAAAGAAAGACAACTTTTGAAAGAGCAGCCTATATAAGAGATGTGTACACAAAATGTGTACAAATTTTCGTGTACAAGTAGTTTTTTTCAATTTTGTTTGTTTGTAGTGTTTGTACTGATGCGAGGCAAAACAAGGATGTTTTCTATCTGTCACAAGATCGGATTCTCAGACAGATTTAGTTCATTGGAGCCTCACAATAGTCCCAACCTAACTTATTTTTGCTTCCAATGTCAAAACACACAATCCATGTCTATTGTGTTAGGTTTGGACTATTGTGAGGCTCCAATGAACTAAATATGTCTGAGAATGTAGGATATAACCTACTGTCTGTGGTTTTCTGTTGTAATGGTATTATTAGTATGTCTAGTTGAATCCATGTTGTTGTAATAGTCTCCTACTGGTTGTTGTTTAGTATGATATATGAAGATAGTTGTAATGACAATCATTTGAAATATTGATAATTTAGAACTGGTCACATGATGTATGTTTGGTATTGATGTATGTTTGCTATTAATGCACCACATCATATGATAGGTTACATTCAGAAAAGTCCAGGACAAGATGAAAAATCACAGATGATTACAGGTTACAACCACTTACAGGATGAATTTAAAGAAGTTATCCAAGCATATTACATAAAGCAATAGAAAGGTTAGAAAGAAGTCCAAAACAACTACTCTTCTGCAATTATAACCTGAAGTAATAATTTATACTTCAAACTAATGCACTGCATAACATGTAAAGAGTTATCATAAATCCATAACCAAAACACCCTTGTACAAGGTCACAGTATATCCTTCACAAAAACACCCTTTCACAAGGTCACAGTATATCCTTCACAAAAACACCCTTGTACAAGATCACAGTTTATCCATGACAAAAACCCTTGTACATCATCATCATAAATTCTTAAACAAAACAACCTGGATAATTACATTTCTAGAACAGAAGAACATTCTAACAGGTCACTACAATGATAAACTAAACTACTTTTCATTAAGAGCTTCCATGGAGTCATATAGTTCATGAAATCTCTGCCTTGCAGTTGAAGCATCTCCAGTAACTTCAATTTGCTCACTGGGCATTTTTTTGGATTTTCTTGCATTGGCTTGAAGCTGCTTTCCTTTCCGAGCCCTTACTCTCTATACCAAAACAAAATGTACCATGTTAGTATCCATTAGACATTGAAAATATTAATTCACAAGTTCTACCTCCAAACCAGCTGCAGCAATGGAGTTGTTTCCCTTACTTTGAAATACACCATCACTAGGTCTCTCCACTTGTTTATTCTCACTGAAATATGACTTCAATATACTCTCAGTAACATTTCTTGGCTCAATAGAAGTACCAGATTCAGTGTTGGTTACCTACAAGTCATATATACACACATCAAATACTTACTATGAAACAACAAATAAAACAGTTTATTTTATTACTATAATTGCATGTACCTGATCAGAGTTGGTCTTCAAAGAGCACTTATTTTGTGTGTGTCCTTCTTGGGAGCAGTGTCCACATGATCTCTTTCTTTGTGTTGAACTACTACCTTCTAAATCAACTGGAAATGATGTTGTTCCATTTAAAATTACCTCTTTTGATGGACAACCATTTTTGTTATGGTCTCTTGCAAAACATAGCTGACATGTGATACTTGTGCCTCTCTTGGTAACTTACCAGTCCTAGGATACTCACCTATTTCTTTAATTCTGTTTTTTCTTGGCCTTCCTAGTTCTTTAGTTTTCAATTCTGTTGGCAACACTGTGAAGTTTGTTTTAGGCCAAAAGAGAGGACCAACTATAGGTGTCATCATTTGAGCATATGTATGGCGATACATATCTTTCTTATACCATTGGGAAATGTAATCCTCAATTGGATGACCTTTGTCCCTAATTGCACAAATTGCATGTTTGCAAGGTATCCCAGATACATCCCACTGCTCACACAAACAGCTCCTACCCTCTAAGTCTACGAGATATGTATCAGATCCACATGAAACTTCATAGCCATTAGATCCATTAAAGAGTACCCTCCAATAATTGCTTGCTATCACTGTCTTGTTGATCCTTCTCTTAATTCTAGGACCTAGCTGACCAACCCACTTGTCCCCTAAAGTCCTATTCTTGATAAGCCTTTGCATGACCAACTTTCTAATAAATTTCAATTGAGAAAATCCTTATTGAGACCTAGCAGGCACTATCACTCCATGAAAAGCTTCACACAATTTATTGTCCACAGTTTCACATTTGATAGACCTATTAAATAAAGCCCTACACCAAAACTTTGGATCTATTTTCAAAATCTCTTCATGTCCATTAGGAGATAGAGATTTCAGTACCTCTAGATTCATCTCAAACTCTCTCTTTGATGCAGATTTACAACACTTCCAAAACTGCCTTTGTAACTCAATCCCAGGATGTGATCTTCTCCACAAAGCATAAATGTGTCTCGCACATCTTCTATGTTCCACATCGGGTAATGACTCATACAATGTAGGCATCAATCCCTACAAATAAATGTAATTACCAAACTTTAGTATGTCACTTTAGTATATCAACTTCTGTAGTAAAGATATGTACATATATTATATAAGTTCATGTGTATCAGTTCATATAATATATAATATGAGTTGATGTATATCACTTTATATTATACCAACTTAAGTCAGTATAGTATATGAGTTTATATATACCAACTTAAGCATTACAAAATGTATTATAACAACTTTAGTAGTAAATATATCAGTTTATATATACTAACCTTCTATTGATCTGATACAAATGCCCATCCTTCTCCTGTTCCAATATTTAAATCATCTTTGAGGTTCTCCAGAAACCATTTCCATGTAGCTTTGCTCTCAGAACCCACAACTGCCCAAGCAATAAGAAACATCTGATTGTTTGCATCACGTGCGACTGCTGTGAGGATTTCACCCTTGACTTCAGACTTTAGAAATGCTCCATCAATTCCAATCAGCCTCCTACACCCCTCTAAGAAGCCCTTCTTGCAAGCCTCAAAGCACACATAAAACCTTTCAAAAACTGGAGTGGGTTGCATGACCTGAAGTATGCAAGTATTCCCTGAATTGGACCTCATTATTTCAGCCTTATAATCCTCTAAGTTGCTGTACTCTGCCTTAATGTCCCCCTTTTCCATCTTTCTGAGAATAGACTTGGCTTTCTTCATTTGCTCAAGAGACACCTCACAGTTTAGTTCTTTCTTCACCATCTCTTTCATTGAGGCTACTTTCATCTCGGAAACACCAGGTTTTGTTTTGAAAAAATTATTGACTAACCATTTGGCTGTTGCACTAGGTATTTGCCACCCTGGATTGCAGGTGTGCTCACTATTCAAAGTCTTTACAACCCATTTCTTACTACTACTTCTATTATCTATCCCAAAGTAAGCCATCCATGTGCATGTTTTATTTAAATTGGAACACTTGGCCCTAAGCATGTTAGCACAGTTTTTTGCCCAATGGTAAGGATACCTGTTAGTGACAGAATATTTATCCACTGCCTCTTTGACTTGAGATTTGCATTCAAAGCTCATTCCTAATGAGAACTCAACTTTGTCATCTGTTTTGAAACTTGGAAACTTGGTTTTCTTTCTAACAGGCTCTTCTTCTTCTTCTTCTTCTTCTTCTTCTTCAGATTGTGGTCCAGACTTGTAACTGCCTTCATCACTTGAGCTGAAATACTCAGTTTCATTCCCATCTTCCTCCACTACTAACTCTTCTTCATGTATGTTGTTGTCAGTAGATGTGTGCCCTTTACTTTTACCAACACTCTTTCGATTAGTCACCAACTTCCTTAGCAGTACCCGACCATGTTGTAATTCCTCATCGTCTTCATTTTCAGAGTTGAATTCATCTTCAAACAGTAGTCCAGCTTCTGCCTCAAGAAGTGGATCTTCAAATCCCAAATCAACAATGAAGGGCACTTGCAAAACACTGTATTCAAAACAAATTGTGTGGTCAATTAACCAATAATCATAAAATACTTACATTGTAAGAGAAATAATTAATTGTTGAAGAACATGTTTGTAACACACTGTAATTCACCACTTGCAACAAATTCAAATGCACCACTTCCAACAATTTAAAGCACTCAAAACAAAAATTGGATAGCTTATAGGAAAACATATAAACGGGGTTCAAAGCTGTCATCCGTTCTAAACGGGGTTCAAACTATATGGTTTGTGGTTATGTTTATGTTAACTTCGGCCATTACTTCCTCAACACATATGGGTAAACAAATTTCGAAGATATAAATGCTTGCAGGGATGCATCGATGATGTATTGCAGAGTAAATGTAGATATCGTACCTTTCATCAGATATTTCAGTCTCCATCTTCAGATTACCACTTCAACACCTTAGTTACTCTCTCTTTAGGCTTAGAACTTCATCGTTTTTTGTCTTTGGAGTCTTCGTACAATTAGGTTAGGGTTTCAAACGTGTAATAACCAAGCACTTAACGGGTGATGTGGACTAAAAAAGTCCAAATCAATATTCCGTTTGCCAAGTCACACGATTAACGTCCGGTTAGTATACTGATTTAACACCGAAATACCTATTTTGTGTACTTCCTGGTTTAAGATATAATATGAGGTACTCTTTATGCTATCGGCTACGACTTGATGTACTGAATTGACATTTTTCTCTTAAAAAAACCAACTGCTTTGGAGATCCAAGACCCCCTCTTTTCCCTCTGCCGTTTTGCACCTCTTCCTTTCGGCAGAGGATCTGAATCCCACATGACCAGGCATGAGTTTCATACACAATTTGTCCCCGGATAAAACTATATGAGCCCGCCTTGTAAAAATTGCTCTCCCAGCATTCCGAGTCACCCCCATGGGTGTAAAACATTCAGCTTCAAACCTCTCTAATAAAGTTCAGGTATGGGTTTATCAAAGTCGTGGCCTTTCTTCTCTCTCATGTATCCAAATCTTCAAAGAAACTGATAGAAAATTGCCCAATCTTTCGAAGTTTCCAACAAAATTTCAATTTTCAGCTAAAAAGCTTCTCGCCGATACCTTAATAAGTTTTAATGGTTCCACCTCCGATTTGGGCTCGTCATTGAGTCTCTTTAAACGGGCTTGCCAGCAAAAGGAGTTTCAACCCACTGCTGACGCATATCACACCATAATTTTGAAATTGGGTATGGCCGGAAAAGTAGGCGAAGTGGAGGGACTTTGCAAAGAGATGGTGGAGGGGAAATTCCCGGGCTTTGAAGAAGTGATTTTTTCGCTGATTGATGCTTTTGTTAGGAACCATAGGCTTAATGAGGCTTTATGTGTTGTTTCTTGTGTACATTTATGTAACAATAAACCAGCATCGCTATCCATGTATAATAAGATGTTGGATGCACTTGTGAAGGCAAAGACAGATTTTAAGGATGTCGTCTATGTATACAAAGAGATGGTGAAAGCTGGAATTGTTCCAAATACGGATACAATAAATTATTTGTTGCAGGCATTGTGGGAAACCGGTCGGGTCGATTCAATGTTGGGTCATTACAAAAGGATGGATAAGAAAGGGTGTAAGCCAAACAGTAGAACTTTTGAGATAGTTATTAGTGGACTTGTTTCTAGGGGTAAATATGAGGAATCTCTTGGGGTTTTAGATGACCTATTTAGCTCTGGGTGTGAACCTGATCTGAGTTTCTACACCTCCTTACTGCCCATATTTTGTGATATGAATAACCTGGAGGTGGGAATGAGGCTTTTTGGAATGATGAGATCTTCGAAGATATCTCCAACCTCATCAATATATGGGTATATGATACAATGTCTGTGCAAGAATCGTCTTGTGGATGAAGCAATAACCCTTATAGAAGAGATGACTGCCAGTCATCTCATTCTGGACGAGTTTTTGCTCACTAGTATAATCGACTGGTTATGTGAAATGAACAAATTGTCCAAGGCCAAGAAGTTATTGGAAGATCAAAATGTTTCTATTTCATCTCCTTATAATCTTCTTCTCCAAACATATGTCCATGCAGGTGATTTTGATATTGCTCGACACCTGTTCAATGAAATGTTTGATAGAGATTTAACAGATGTTGGGTCATGGAATATCCTTATTAAACATTTCTGTGAATGTCACGAGATATATGGTGCCCTGAAGTATCTTGGGAAGATGATTGTTTCATCGGCTAACCCGAATGCCGATACTTATTCAGCAATTATAATTGGCAAATCCTTGACGGATGAATATGAGGAAGCCTTAACATTGTTCCATAAAGCATGTGTCAAATCGTGGGTTCTTGATGACGTGTCATACGGTCAACTTATCAATTGTCTATGTCGAGCAGAAAGGTATCAAGAAGCTGTGCAAGTGTTTTCCCTAATGTCTAGCAAAAGACGTCCTCTGAACTCTGTATCATTCGATTTGCTTATCAGGGGTATATCTGGAATCACAGATCAAACAATCAAATTACTGTCATTGGCTTATTACAGTGGAGCGTCCCCTTCTATTTCCACCCTAAAGACCATTGTTCAAGGTCTCTCTGAAGAAAATAAGGTGGATGATCTGTGTACAGAAGATTGCATCCTCTTACTTAACTTGATGCTTACGGAGGGTTTATTATCATCTCAGAATTGCAATGCAATTGGTAATCTACTCTCATGTTTGATGAAAAACTCTCAGTTGCACGTGATTTTACCTGCGGTAGATACATTTATCTCCAACTTTGAAGTTCATGATTCGTCTGTATTTAGCGTGTTGATTGATAGCCTTTGGAGAGGGGGGTATAGAAGAGAGGCCTCTAAATTGTTGGACTTGATGTTGGCAAAGGGGTGGGTCCCTGATCCCGGAACTCACGCAGTGTTAATGGGTTCATCATTTGTTGAAGAAGATGGAAAAGATGCCGAAGTATCTGTTGTCTGTGAAGATAGTGTTAGCAGCATACTTGCCCAAGGTTTAGCAGAATGTGACCATTGATGTTAACTGTGGATCAGAGTGTGATTTTGTGTCTTGTAAACTTGGATTTGATGCAAGGAGACTGAGAAAGGTATGCTTTTAAGAGGGCCATAGAGCTTAATTGATTAGGCTCTGTTTGGTGGCCTAGAGTGATTTTCTCTGGTAATTAATTAACAAGTATTGATCTGATGAGAAAATTATCATGTCAATCTTCTACATATCCCCCCTCTGTATGTATTCAATCGGTCATCTCTTCGACTTCACAAGGAGTTAAAGAAAAATGAAATTATGTGATTGAGATTAATTTGGAAATGAAAGAATCAAGTAATCAATATCAACCTCATTTCCCCCCTTAGAGCTACACATGACGATTATTTGAGCACGGTCCAAATTGATTGTTTAGGCACGGTCCCAGCAAAGAACTTATGTCATTCTTCTTGCTGTCAAGATTAACCTACCAGTAACTGTAATTGGCTACATATGAATATATGATTCTTTCCTAAAAGTTATCTACACAGCCATTAGAAAATGATGTTGAGGTTGTTACACGAAAATATGATGTTGTGAAGCTTTGGCTTTTGATTGTTTTCAATTTTTCTTTTACCCCCCAGCCAAACATATGAAGGGTTCCTCTTGAGTTCTCTTGAAGAATTTTGAGGGAGAGATGGAGTTTGTTCACACAAAGACGGGTCTGATGTACATATTGAGGTTTCTCGGGTCCTGTGGGGTTGCATTTGTAAATTGTAAGAGGAAAGTGAGGCTGATTATTATGTGCTTCAAAGCTGAAAAATCACTTACTTGGACTGACTTGCTCAAATGTTGGGTCTTGATTATTTTATTTCACTTGATGTAACTTCGGAATTATGATTCATACCAGTATTGTAATTAAAAGCTTCTGTCGTCGTTCCGTATTCGCATTTTTTATAATAATAATAATAATAAAACATCCAAGATATTGACCACCACATCTCCTGATCTCCTTATGGTTCATGACTTTGGGTTACGTTCCACCCCCAACCCCTACTAGAAACCGTAACCAGCCTGATCAACCACCAAGTCCAATCTTCAACAGTAGCTACAATATATTGCACCTTAGTTAGTATTGGACTCGGGCCGGGTCGGGCCCGGGCCGGCGGTTCTATATAGCTGGACCCGGGACCGGCCCGGGTAGCCACCGGGTTCGGTCCAGGTCCGGGCCGGGCCTCGGGTTTGGTTAATTTTTTTTTTTTTTTTTTTGCTTAGCTACCCATCCCTGACCCCCCCCCCCCTCACCCCACAAACCCCTCCTAAACATCAAGCCCAACCCGGTGGAGCGCAAACAAATGAAAAAAACCAAAAAAAAAATAAATTTGGCCCGAACCGGGCCCGGGCCGGGCCGGGCCTTGTTATGGGTGACCCGAGCCCGGACCGGAAACCCACCGGGTCGGGCCTACCCGGACCGGTCACTGACCGGGCCACCGGTTCGGGCCGGGCCGGAACAGTACCGGTCCCGGGCCGGTTCCGGGTCGGGCCACCCGGCCCGAGTCCAACCCTAACCTTAGTACACCACGTATTTTAGTAAATGAAGGAAACCCACGTTTCATGTCCAATCCTACAAGCAACCAACTAAGGGAGGAAATATGGTACTGATTAGGTAATTAGATTTTAGGGGATGGATAACCAAGGCAAGAACAAAGGGGAGCCTTGGCCGCTTGGCCAGTTGCTATCTTGTGATAAAAAAGAAGCGAAATCTTGTCAAAATGATAAAGAAAGGCTTACCGCTTACCCCTTAATTGCCTTGAACATCATTTTGGTGAGACCCTTCTTCCGGGACACCAAATGTCCACGGGGCTGCCCTTTCTTTTTCTTTCTTATAACTCAAGGCAAGAACATTGAATTAGAATGCCATTTCATCTGAAATTGCACAAATTGAGTATTATCTGGACCATCCTCCTGTATCTCGGTATCTGTGTTAGATCTCATTCACAAATTCCATAAATTTCAACGTCACTTGTAAAATTTCTAGTTGGAATATGACAGAGATGCTAGATTGCTAGAAGGTAATGACATCAAGATCTATTTTAAAAATTATAATGCACACCTAACAGCCTACATTAGTCTCCCTCTTCAACACCAAGGAGGCAAGGATGATAGACCAGCCATGGCCAAAATGGCACAACACAGATTTCTTGCTTAGAATGAAGGCCAAAGTTACTCATGCTTTTAACTTTGCATGGCAAGAGAGGCCCATCCTCTAAACCAAACTCACCTTGCTGACATAGTTCATGTTAGACATTCAGTTTGTGCAACTACAGGCCCACCCAGCAAAAAAAAAGGCAGAGTGCAGAAGGGTCTGTGCAATCCACCTTCAGTTGACATGCCAAACGTATACAAAATACAAGAACACACAAGCGATGCAATTCCAAATAATTGGAAATTAGTACTTTCTGGAGGGGATTAATTGATGAAAAATTTGAAGTTGTTTCAGGACTCCAGTAGAGGGTGAGAATGAAATGCATCTAGAAATATAATATTATAATACATACATCATAACTACATAAATACATCACAAGTTCTTGGCATTTTCTACACAGAACTACCCTTTAACATAAAACAAAAGCTATAATCCGAGCAAATTATCCTTTATCTAGCAAAACGAACTCCAAAAATTTATGCACTTCCTCATTCACATCGAGATCAAAAAATAAAAACCAGCATCCTTTTAAAAAGCAAGCCTGCAAAGGAAAATTCAAATCGCAAATATCACGAACATGAAAAATCCCATAAAATACATTCCAAAATCATATATAATTCTCACCTTTGCAATAAAAAGTATCATTCAGATGTACCTAGTTTAACACCGTTATTCTGCTCCCCAGAAAGAATCAGGTTTGTTTGCTGATCTTGATCCACAGCAGCAGGGAAAGAGGCAACCCCACTGTTTATTCTCAACTCTTGACCATTAGTAATAGCAACCCCACTGTTTATTCTCAATTCTTGACTATTAGTAATAGTAAATTCAGCCAAATTTTCTGGCATTCCATTCTGATGACTCTCATCAAGATTCTGAACAATTGAAAGCCCAGTGTGGGTGTCCAGTCCCACAGAAAACCCCCCATTCTCCTCCACAACCATGGGAACAATGTTGTTTGGAAGTTGCACTCCCGCCAGATCCTTATTCAAAGCTGCCAAAACGTCAATAGATGTATCCGCCCTGTCCATATATTCCCTATGATTATTCACCATCACACTATTGCTTGCAATGCCGCCTATACCCCCCCTCTTAGCTAACAAAACCTCATTCCTCATCAACTTCTCCTTTGCCGCTAGATAGGACACATGTTCTAATGCTTCCCTGGCCCGTTTCCTAGAAAATGCGGCTTCCTTCGCCTTCTTCTCTGCCTCCATTCTTAAAGAAGCAGCAGCACCGCTCATCAAAGTAGCGGCAATCCTAGCAGCAGCCAGCAAAACTCTAGCTGCACTTTTGTCAATGACCCTGCAAGTCTCCCCACTCTTGCCATCCACATTAGTGGCTTTTCTAAGGGTGAATATTGGGGAGTTGGGGGAGACGCAGAGGGGGCATACGTAAGGATTGGGCGGGGTGTGTCCCACACACTGGGTATGGGACACGGAGTAACACTTGGAGCAGCAGACGGCGTCGTTTTGGGATGACCGCGGTGGGGACGGGTGAGAGACGGTGAAGCAGGTAGGGCAGAAGTATTGAGGGTGGAGTCTCAGGACACAGGTAGTGCAGAGCTTACGGATGTTGCCCCGGAGGCGGATACCGTGAAGAATAAGACGCTCCGCCGCCCCGCAATTGCCGCATACGGTGCACCCAGCGACGACGGAGCCCGGAGATGAAAAGTCGGGTCTCATCATCGGTTTTATCGCTCTATACGAAGATCGAACATTTGAAACGATGATTGCAATGATCCATATACAGGTTTACATTTAAGAAATTCCAATCGAACAATGAATTTCTTACCCTGTCTATGAACGGTGCGCGTGAAGTGCGAAGGCCACTAGGCAGGGAGAAAATTAGGGTTTTGGGTGTAGGTCTGAGACGTGCGAGGAAGAAGCGAGGTGATTGGTTGGTTTGCCATTAGCAGAATCGATTTGTGACACAATCTCGCAAGATTCCTTTTGTACGGAAATCACAAATAAAAGTATTTTGATTTCCCAAGAATATTTTTATTTTTGTTGTGAAAGGAAGAACATGGAGCACAGATATGAGATACTCCCTCCGTCCCTTAAAACTTTGCCAAGTTTGACCGACACGAGGATTAATAAAGTAAAAACTGTGTGATTGAGGTTTGTGCAGAGGAGAGAGAATTAACTGAACCACAAATTCTTTACTTAAAAATGAAAGTGGCAAAGTTAGTGGGACATCCCAAAAAATGAAAGTTGGCAAAGTTTTAAGGGACAGAGGTAGTAGATATAAAGGTAAAACTTTATAAAGTATTTGCTCTAGATAAGACTAAAATAATGGAAAACTTCCTAAATAGGAGTACTCTCTAATTTATTTCTTAAATAGGACTAATTTAATTAATCTTCCAATTATACTCATCTCTAACTGTACGCCTCTCTCCGCTACATGATTTCTTTTCTCACCACATCTCCTCTCTCCTCTCCCATCTTCCTCTCGCATCAATTTTTCTTTTCTTCCACAATCTCCCTTCTTCTCTCCCAAGTCCCATCTACCTAGGCATGGACCGGTTCCGGTTCGGGGCCGGTTGGGGCCTGGGCCCGGCCGGGCCTCGGTTCAAGAAGGGGAGGCCCGGAACCGGCCCGGGCCGGGCCTCGGTTCTATTTTTTTTTTTTTGGCTTTTCTTAGTAAACCCCCACCCCTCCCCCTCACCCCCAAACCAACCTTAACCGCCTCAAATGGCCCAAAATACCCAGCCCAACCCAAAAACTTAAAAAAAATTCAAAAAAAAAAAAAAATTGGCTCGGCCCGGGCCCGAACCGCCGGGCCGGTTCACCTTTTGAAGGGCCCGAGCCCGAACCGCCATCCCACCTGGCCGGTTGGCCCGAACCGGGCCCGGAACCGGTTCACCGGGCCGGGTCGGGCCTGCACAGTAGCGGGCCGGTCCGGTTCCGGGCCGGTTGGCCCGGCCCGAGTCCACCCCTACATCTACCCTCTACATCTATCATCATTAAATCGCTTTGTGAGACATCAATTTCATTCTCCTCTCATCTTCTCCGATTTAGAGGTATAAGCGATGAGTTTCTTCTCCATTTTCGGCCACCAGTGAGTAGGGGCGGTGAGTGGCGGCGGGCTGGCGGTAACCTGAGCAGGGGCGGCGAGTGCGTGGTGTGGGGCTAGCGGTAACCAGGTATGTATTCTTTTTCTCTTCTTCTTCCCCTTCTTCACTCTATAGCAGATTTTTTGCATCTTTAAGTTGCTGATTAACCCCATTTTTTATTTGTCTTTTGCTTCACTTTTTTTTTATATTCTCCTTCCAGATTTGTTTCAATCCGTTCATTTTCTTGCTTTTTTCTAGCTCTCTTCAGATTATATTTACTTTGATATTGATGGATAGTCTACCCGGGGGTATATATCCGAAGGGTTATTACGGGGAATAACTTAGAGAGAAGTCAGAGCAAGTAAGTAAAAGTAGAGAGAGAGAGTATTCAGTATGAATGCCGTTTTCAGCGTGGTTACAAATGAGGAAATGGGGTGCTATTTATAGTAGCAATAAATGCCGGGCAAGGACACGTGTCAAGCGCTCATTGGCCGAGGGGTCACCTCAACTGGTTGGCGCTGGCAGCCGCATGTGGCCGCATTTAATGCGGCTGTTGGATGGGACGTCTATGCGGGGTACGGTGATCTGTACGCATGTGAGGCGGATATCTTGTCGAGTGAGATGCCTTCGGCTATAGAGCAGTAGCCGAGGGCTCTTCCACCCGATGGCACCCTGGTGCCGAGGGCTCACAATGCCGAGGGCTACTGTTTTCGCCGTTTTCTCCCAGTTTCTTAATTTGCTTGAGAAACCCGTTCTGTGAGAATTTGGAGCCTTCGGCCAGGGGGCCGAAGGCACCCCTGGCGCGTAGTGCGGGCTGCTTGGCACTCTGGGCGCTGTGATTTGGGCCTGCAGGGCCTTCTAAGCCTGTTGGGCCTTCGCTGGAGTAATAGGAGTCTGTGGGCCGGGGGTTCCCGGGCCATATACTCCATCAGGAGTCCCTCACTCCTTTTGCCGAAAGGTACTTGAGGGAAAAGGAGTAATTTGTGCTTGCCCTTTGATGTTGTCCCGTCGTGATCTCTGAAGTGTGTGAGGAGTTGTTGCTTTTATGTCCCTGCCGAAGGCAGCCTCAGTTACCCACATGTCGGGACTTGAGGGCTTGCCTTGTTGTTTGTTGGAGTTTCTACATCTTTTGTAATTTAATGATTTTCCCGAGGGGGTCCTCCAGTCCCCCACTCCTTGAGGCACTTGTAAAGTGGTGAAAAGGAGTAGAGCAGTTGCGTTGCTGTTGTGGGCCGAAGGCTGTCGTTTTTTCGTTTCATTTTGGGGGGATGCCTCGTTAAAAACCTCATTAGGAAAAACCCTTTGGGAAAAAAATCCTAATGAGGGAAAAAGAGTGCACCGAATTCCCCCAATGATGAATCGAAAATGTCAAACCTTGGTATAAAGTGGAGAATGATGGGAATGCCGAAGGCTCTCTCTTCTGAGGGCTCCTGTGTTGATTAGCCGAAGGCTTGCTGTTGAGGTCCTGGTGGCGCCGAAGGGGAGCCCCTCAATTCGAGGATCGAGGGCCTGCTAGATGAGGGCGACAATGGAGTTGTTCCCGGGGGGTCCACTGTTTGTTGATTAGTTGGTGATGAAGATACCCGAGGGCTCCCATTACCTGTGTGCCATGGGCCATCCGTCAATGAGGCACTCCCCGGGGATACCCAGTTTTGCAGTGCTGAGGGGGAATCCCCGAGGGGTGCCCTGATATGAAGCCTCGGGTTTCTGAAGGAGTGATCCCGAAGGCGACTGTTATGTGCTGTGCGGGGCACAACCCGGGGGCACTTCTGAGTGAGTGTACCCGGAGGCTATCCTTGATGAAGAGGAGCGAAGTAGAAAACCCGGGGGCTTCCAGAATATAGTTGTTGGAAATATAGCCGTTGGAATATGTAACGACAGGATATAGCCGTTGGGGGGGTGGCACACGTGGCGTGTGATGGCTGGCTGTTCGTGGGCGGCGTCACCGGTTGGGTGAAACGACGGTGTGTAATGATGATGGTCCGTCCGGAGGCCCGGAATCCAGGCCCAAGCCCGGATTCCATCGCCTATAAATACCCCAAGGCCAGGGCCATTCCCCGCTGTGCGAACACAGTTGTCTTAGCGAAGCTCTGCCAAAAAATGTAGTGAGAGAAACTCAGGCCTTCGGTCAGAACTTCTGCTTTCAAGATCAGTGCCCGCTTTCCCTTCACCTCTTAGCTACCTGTACTGTGCCCTTAGATTAGGAGATAGAAAATTTAGAAAACACTAGTGTCTACGAACCTTCGAACTAGAGTCAGCATGTCGTCCCAGAGTGATTCTCAAGATATCTCGGGGGCGCCCTCGGTGGAGGATGAAGTCCTCTCGGACGTGGAGTCCTCAAGTGCAGAGTCCTCGGTGGGACAGGATGCCGTCATGGCCCTGGAGTTGCAGAAAGCCCTCGTAGCTGAGGCGGAGGCCGAGGGCTTTGAGCAAGAATGTGAGGACGAAGAGTTGGCCATCGCCTGGCAAGCAGCTGAAGAGGAGGCACAAAGAGAAAGCGAGAGGGTCACCGTTGCTGTGCTCCCCCCTCGGGGTGCCGGGGAGGCCAGCACCTCTCGGCCGCTGAATGCGGTCCCCCTCCGGGTGGCCCCCGGAAAGAAGAAGGCCAAGGCCGCTGTTCCCAAGAAGAAGGGCAGCGTAGCAGATCAAGGGAAGCCCCTTGATATGCCCGAGGGGTACTCCTATCTCAACACCGCCGCATTGGAGATCAAGTCGAAGGTTGATGCGGCGGACATCTATGTCACCCAGCTTCACGTGGGCCCCTCGGCCATCGTGGTGACACCGGGTCCGGATGACGTTCTCTCCCGGGCTCCCGAGGGCTGCATTGCGGTGCACGTCCTCTCAGTATCCATGGGGCTCCGCTTCCCCCTGCACCCCTTCCTCCGGGAGTATCTTCGGTTCGTCGGTCTGGTTCCCTGCCAGCTGACCCCGAACAGCCATTCTTATATCACTGGCTTCCTTCAGCTCTGTAAGTCCCGGGGGGTGACGTTTAGCCTGGACCTCTTCTTCCAGAGCTTCAACCTGTGCCGGGGGGGGGGGGGGGCACGCGAATGCCGAGGGATTCGCCAATCTGCAGCAGGTGTCCGTGTTCAAACTCTTCACTGAGGCGCCCTCCTTGAACAAGGGGTGGAAGGACCGGTGGTGCTATGTGAAGCTAGCCGAGAGCCCCTTCCCGAGGGAGCTGCGTGACCGCTTTAGGAGGCACGAGAAGAGGAGGAGCGCCGCCCTCGAGAAAGATGGCAGGATTCTGGCCATGATCCCGGAGGGCCGGGACAAGAATATCTCCATCAAGGATTGCACCAAAGAAGCAGATCTCTACACCCTCGGGTTCCGGCGGTACCGGTTCCTGGGGGAAACTGATGAGAAGTTCCCAGTGTTTGAGGGAGCCTCCGGAGGTAGTAGCTGAGGGCATTCTCACCCTCATATCTTAGCACGTTTGTTCATTTGTTTTGTTAATTCTTTATGCCACTTAGTAGTGACCCCTCGATCCTAACCCCTCGTTTTTTTTTGCAGGTGTTCCAGTAAGCATGATGAACGTCAAAGGCCTCGCCCGATTCAAGAACAAACCGGCCAAGGATCCGAAGGGGCCGGACGCTGGTGGCCAAAAGCCCGTCGGTGCGCCTCCCAAAAAGCCCGAGGGCGATGCTGCTGCGGCTAAGAGAAAGCCGTCGGCAAAGGAGCCCCCCCCCCCCAAGTCCCCAAAAAGTTAAAGAAGGGGGATGCCGCGAAGGATGACCCCCCGGTGGTGATTGTAGATGACCCTCCGGAGATGCCGATGGCGCAGGCGCCGAGGGGGGTCCGGGAGCCATCTCTCGAGGTCCTCACGCTCTCCCTTCCGGCTGGCACGGCCGTGTTGAATGGCACGGCTGACCCGAGGGCGCTCCTGAGAGGTATAACCCTCGATATCGACAGGGCAGCTCTCGGGGCCGATGATGATCAAGCCCTTGAAGACAGGATCCTCCGGTCTTCCCTCACGGTGAGTTCACTGTAGTTTGTCTTTCTGTTTCCCACTTTGAACTAAGAAATCACGTTCGGCCCTGACAACCCGCTTATCTTTGCAGACTTGCGTTGCCCTCGGGGAGCAGTTCCGACGGCTGGAGGAATGGCGCCTCCACAAAGCTGGGCAAGACGCCAAGGTGAAGGAGCTGATCCTTAGGGACTCCCATGCCACGAAGCTGATGGCCCAGCTTGAGGAGGACCTCCGGCTTGCGAGGGCGGAGGCCGGGAGGCTCAGGGAGGAGAAGGCAGAAGCTGAGGCGGCCGCTGCGGAGGCCGCAAGGAGAGCAGCCGAGGAGGCCGAGGCCATCAAGGCGAAGGCTGTCGCCACAGCCCGGGAGGAGGCCATCTCCGGGTTCCTGGACGGGGGGTGGAAGACCGAGGGGCACAAGGGATGGCTGTCTTCGGTTGTTGAGGCCTCGGTTGATGAATGGTCCGAGGGCCCGGGGGAGGAGTGGATGGCTCGGAAGGGTAAGCAGTATTATGATGGGGGTGAGTTCTTCACTCAAGCCCTCATCTACCGGAGGATGGCCCGCCATCTGAAGGTTGAGCCGAAGGACTTTGACCCGGCGGCGTACGGGCTCCCCCCCTGCAGCCAGATATCCGTGTTCCTCTCCCCCCTGATGTCGAGAGGCCAGACCTGGAGGATTCCGAGCTCCGAAGGGAAGCCGAGGGCGACGATCCTGAGGCTGATGTAGAAGTTACCTCGAAGCCATCGGGGGGGGGGGGGGGGGGGGGCGGCCCCCGGGAATGACATTATTTGATATGTACTCTGTAATTTGAACAATTGTGTAATAGCCTCGGCCTAACATTGTAATAACTATATTTACTCCTTGTTGTGATGAATGACTGAATGCCTTCGGGCTTTGTATATATGAATTGTTTTCTCCAATTCCTTTCTTCTTGAATGTATGCCTACGTTTTCCTTGAGTGTATGCCTTCGGTATTTTTGAATGTATGTCTAGGACTTAGAATATTTTTCGATTGTAGCTTGCCCTTGGAAGCCTTCGGTAGTTGGGCACCCTCTGCTGGATATGCAACCGAGGGTTCAGCAGCAATTAGGACTTAGAAAATTTTTCTAAGTGTAGCACACCATAGGGCCTTCGGGTGTTTGCAGTAACCCAAATCCTAGGACTTAGAAAAATTTCTAAGTGTAGATTTCCCCTTGAGCCTTCGGGATATGGCATCCTTTCCTGATGTGTGAATGTTGGACCGAGGGCCCAATGCACAGGACTTAGAGATTTTTTGCAAGTGTAGTATGTCATGTAGCCTTCGGCTACTGTGGAGCCCCAACTGAAATATTGAATAGGCCGGGGGCCAATTCTTTAGGACTTAGAAAATTTTCTTGAGTGTTGATTCCTTGTGTACTGTAGCCCTCGATTGATAGGTAGCCTTCGGCAATTAGGTCCCTTGAGATGAGGGTGAAATATGTAGGACTTAGAAAATCTTCTAAGTGTAGAGTTTCCCTTGGGAGCCTTCGGGAGGTGGCATCCCTCCATGATGTATGAGTAGCTGACCGGGGGGGGGGGGGGGGGGGAATATGCAGGACTTAGAAAATGTTCTAAGTGTAAAATCTCCCTTGGGAGCCTTCGGGAGATGGCATCCCTCCTTGATGTATGAGTAGTTGACCGGGGAAAAGCATGTAGGACTTAGAAAATATTCTAAGTGTAAAACCTCCCTTGGGAGCCTTCGGGAGATGGCATCCCTCCTTGATGTATGAGTAGTTGACCGGGGAAAAGCATGTAGGACTTAGAAAACATTCTAAGTGTAAAATCTCCCTTGGGAGCCTTCGGGAGATGGCATCCCTCCTTGATGTATGAGTAGTTGACCGGGGAAAAGCATGTAGGACTTAGAAAACATTCTAAGTGTGGATTTTCCCTTGGGAGCCTTCGGGAGATGGCATCCCTTCTTGAAGTATGGCCTTCGACTGTCATATTCCTCTAGCTGCAATACTGACTGAGCCGGGGGCCCATCTTTAGGACATAGAATTTTTTTTGTTTGCAAGTGTTGTTGTATCGCATAGCCTTCGGCTATTGTATTCCCCTGGCTGTAATGTTGATTGAGCCGAGGGCCCAATTTTAGGACTTGGAATTTTTTCAAGTGTTGTTTCTTTGTGTAGCCTTCGGGTGATAGGTGCCATCTGACTCTGCATTACTTTGCGAGATGCCTGGGGGCTACTAATTTAGGACTTAGAATATTTTCTAAGCGTAAATTGGTGTTGAGCTTCCGGATGTAGATCCCTTGTGTTGTATGAGTCTCTGGCCGAGGGCCAAATATGTGTGGAATCCTGTTGTTGTGAAGAATGCCAACGATGAGTGTGTGCCCTCGGCATAATTTTTAAAAGGTGTAGGTTTCGACCCTTGCTGAAGCCTTCGGTGCCTGTGTGACCGGAGGTGACCAGGCAGTGGACTTAGTCGTTTCCTGATGATATCTGTTTGAGTGGTATCCTTCGGGAAATAGGAGCCTTCAATTACCGGATGTGTCCCCGTGGGGAGCCCTCGGGATGTTGTGATCTGTTGGAGTGTACTCTTTGATTTCTCGCTGAGTCTACTCCCCTTCACCCCCCCCCCCCCCTTTTTGGTTGGTGGTGAAGGGAAGGCATCAAGAAACTTGGTTTCTTGGTAAGGCTGGGCCTATTAGGAGACCATCAGAATACACCAATGGCTCTCCTCCCTCGGGTTAACCATCCGAGTTCTGAGGGGATCGAGGGACGTTCCCTGGGCACAAGATATGGTGGTCCGTAACCTGCCTCCCCTTGGGGGATGGCGCGGAAAGCGCCTCATTTTTGAAAGTCGTCCCCTCGGCGCTAGACTTAGTCCGTGGCCTGCCACACCCTTGGGGTGGTGGCGCGGGGAGCGTTTCGGTTTGGAAGTCGAATCCTGGGCATTTCTCATGCCTGTCATACCCTGGGGGTAGTGACGCGGATAGCGTTCCGTTTTTGAAAGTCGAATCCTGGGCATTTCTCATGCCTGTCATACCCTGGGGGTAGTGACGCGGAAAGCGTTTCAAGGAAGGGTTTTCATTTGCACACTAGTTGCAAATGGCCGGGGGCACTACGTGCCGCCGGCACCGATGGTGGCGCCTTCGGTATATGCGTCCTCGTGGGGTACGGCTTTTAGAAACAACACTTGGTGTTAGTTTCGATGTGTAGCCCCCGGTACTTGGTACCGAGGGGTCTTCTGTAGGAACACTTGGTGTTCTCTTTTGTCGTAGTTGATGTAGGCGTCTACCCTCGGTACTTGGTACCGAAGGGTCTTCAAATGAAACACTCGGTGTTTCCCAACAGATGTTTGGAAGTTGATAGGAGAGCATATCCCTGGCACTGGGTGCCGAGGGGTCTTCTTTGAAACATTTTGGTGTTTTTTTTTCTTCGTTTCGATGTTTGATGATGGAGGTGTACCCTCGGCACTGGGTGCCGAAGGGTCTTCTGTAGGAACACTTGGTGTTCTCATCTTTTCTTTTTTGATGTTGAAGGTGGGGATGTTGTGGATCGTTGCGCTTACCGCTACACTAAAAGCAATCGCTGATAGTGAAGCACGCTCCTCCCCCTTTATAGCACAAGCGAAGCGCCACGCGGTCCGATTGCACCGGCAGGCTGGCTGTTGCTGGCACCGCATACCCGCGGCCCAACAATCTCCCCCCAGCACCTGCCAGCCTACAACTGCGCATCATGCTGTTGCCGGGGGTCGAACCCGTGACCTTGGCTCTGATACCACTTGTGGATCGTTGCGCTTACCGCTACACTAAAAGCAATCGCTGATAGTGAAGCACGCTCCTCCCCCTTTATAGCACAAGCGAAGCGCCACGCGGTCCGATTGCACCGGCAGGCTGGCTGTTGCTGGCACCGCATACCCGCGGCCCAACAGATGTACCCTCGGCACTGGGTGCCGAAGGGAAATGAAACACATGGCGTTCCTTGTTGTTGGTGATAGGAGTTCCTTCCCTCGGCACTTGGTACCGAGGGGTCTTGACTGAAAACACGTGGTGTTTTCACTGATGTTGTAGGTGTTGATGGCGTCCGCCCTCGGCACTTGGTGCCGGAGGGGGTTTTCCCGTGGTGAGGCGGTGGGCCTGTAGTCAGTATGAGGGCTTGATGTCTTGAATGTATCTTCATTCTTCGAAATTGGAGGCCTTGGGCCATAGGATAGTACATTCACTAGTTATGAGGGCTTGGCCGCTCTTACATTATTGGTAAAATTTAATTAAGTGGTGTACATTCCAGTGCCTAGGGACTTCTTTCCCGTTGGGGCGTTTGAGCTTGTAGGTCCCGGGTTTGATGATGGCTGCTATGATGTAGGGGCCTTCGAATTTTGGTGCCATTTTTCCTCCCTCGGTTGGTTGGCTGGCTTCCCTCTTCCGGAGGACATAGTCCCCCACTTGAAATTCTCGGGTGCGAACTTTGGCGTCGATGTAGCTTTTAACTTGCCTTCGGTAGTTTTCTGCCCGGATGAAGGCCCGCTCCCGGCGTTCTGAAATGAGGTGGAGGTCGAGGGCCATGTTGCTGTCGTTGACCTCGGGGTCATATTGGATTACCCTTCGGGTGGGAAGGGTGACTTCCGTAGGAGCTTTGGCTTCAAAACCGTAGCAGAGGGAGAAGGGTGTTTCACCTGTTGCTCGCCGAGGGGTGGTGCGATAGGCCCAAAGGATGTTGTGGAGTTCTTCCACCCAGCCACCGCCCTCGGCCTCTAGCTTCTTTTTGAGGCCCTCGAGCAAGGTCCGGTTGGCATTCTCTACTTGCCCGTTGCCTTGAGGGTAGGCAACGGAGGAGAAGGTGTGTTTGATGCCCCATGCCTCCAGAAGGGCACAGAAGGGGGCTGCCTCAAATTGTGTCCCATTGTCGGAGATGATCTGCTGGGGGATGCCAAACCTTGTGAGGATGTTCTTGAGGACGAAGTGACGGCACTTCGCCTCTGTGATGCTGGCGAGGGGTTCAGCCTCCACCCACTTGGTAAAGTAGTCGACGGCCACGATGATGTATCTGTTGTTTGAGGTACCCCTCGGCAGAGGGCCCACAAGGTCTATCCCCCATCGAGAAAAGGGGACAGAGGTGCTGATGGGGGCATAGTTCACCGCTGGCCTGCCGGGAGCTTTCTGGAAATGTTGACATGCGGTGCACCTCCGGGAAAGGTCAGCACAATCCCTGGCCATGGTTGGCCAGAAGTAGCCCTGGAGAATGAGCCTTCGGAACATGGAGAAGGGTCCCTGGTGAGCTGAGCAAGTGCCACTGTGCACTTCCTCCATTGCGACCTCGACTTCATCTGGATGAAGGCACCGAAGTAGCGTGCCATTGTAAGATCGTTTGTAGAGCCTCCCATCTTCGATGGTGTAGCTAGGAGCCCTCAGCTTTGCCAGTTTAGCGCGGGCCTCATTCTCGGGTAGCTGCCCTG